GAAATGAGCAGGGGGACTATTTGTCCATGGGGACCAGTTTCTCATTTTCCTGTTGTTCTGCAGGCCCATTGCCATCTCTGGAATATCCACCATGACACGAGGAAGGTGAACATGTTCACTCGCCTATTCCATAAAAACTGCCTGCAGCATCACCGGTTTCCATTCTGAAACCAGACAGACTAATATCTGCTGAGACTCGAGCCTCTAAATTGAATTTTGTCTTAAACAACATAGTGGTACATTTTTGTGGGTGCTGCAAATGAAGGGAAAAAATGTGTTTGGACAACTTGGCAACTGTTTCTGTGCTTCTCATCTAGGGTTTGGATAAAATTCCTCAACTGCTGGGTTTGGATTTAACTCAAGGGAACAGTGGCAAAGTTTTTAAATGGTTCTCAGTTCTTCCATTTTACATCAATTTCCCATCCGTAATTTAAATGTTTATCCAGTTAAATGTAATTTGGTGTTTAGGCCATACAGCATTTCCTTGAGGATTCTGGAACAAGTTGGTTATTTTAACACTTTAGGCAGGAAACTGGTCACTGAAAATGCCTCTCAGATAACTTGACATAGGACCTCAGGGGGAGCCTCTGACCCTGCTGCTCTCACTCTCACCACCGTGCTCCCAGGCTTTGCTTAGTCTAGGTGTCTGCCTTGGAAATTCCTTAAGCTATTGCTGGTGACTGACTGCTGTTGTGGTATAACTGTGATTTTCCCCATCCTTCTTTGGTTAAAACATTAGTGACTCTTTCTGCCATTTTTCTTTGAAAACTCGTGAATTGCTTTTATTACTACCACCATTATTATGATTATAATTATAATTACTAACTTTTGCTTTTCCATCCAGGATTTCTCTGTGTAGCCATGGTTATCCTGGAACTCGCTCTGTAGACCAGTAGTATATGTTGTCATGGCTGACCATTTAGTATTGAATAACCAGGTGGTGTTCTTACCTGCAGATACTGGTTTTGCAGCTCTCAGAATTCCTTAGTTGCCTGGAGTTCTTTGTGTGGGGTTAAGGCCTCATGAGCTGTATGCCATTCACATTAGCATGTCTATTGATGTCATTCTTGTTCAGCTCATGTGTAGGCAGACATGTTTATGTATGTAATAACAGTTTAAGAAAATGAGGTCATGAATTTGAAAAAGAGCAAGGAGAGTAAATGCAAGGTTTTGGAGGGAAGAGGGAGAAGAAGGAAATGTAATTATATTGTAATCTCAAAAAATATAAAACAATTTTTAAGCTAACAAAAAAAGCAAGTACTGATGCTTTCCCTTAAGATTTTATGTGGAATCTTAGAGGGATCTGCCAGGGGAACCAGAGGAAAGAGGATGTGACTGAGAGAAATAAAGCCCTTCCCAAAGGTCCCTAATCTTTCAAAGCTGTGAATGATTAGTTGCCCTGAAGGAAAGAGTACCCATCTGATGAGCCTATGGCCCACCATGCCATCATTATCCATGGCAGTGGAAGTTAGTTAGTTTTTTTTCCCTGTGCCTTTGTTTCCTCACTCACTATAGTGGGTTATCATTGAGAGGAGACTCAAGAGTCTTTGAAAGCACAATGTGTTTATATGACTTATTTGGGGTTTGCCAGTGGAGTTTTAAAATTCGTATATATTTATGGGCACTTTTTAACACAAGTGTGATGGTGTGGAGGACATGGTTTGTGGGTGTCTTTCAAGGATTCACGTTGCTGGAAGCTACGTTCCTTGTGTATGGCAGTAAAACATTGATGAGATGGAGTTCACAGAAGCTGGTCGGGTTGTTGAACATAGCTGTTGGATGGGATCGAAGTAGTTATCAGACTCTGAGCTACTTTTTGGGAGAGTCAGTTGCCATAACAGAGCTCTTCCGACTCTGACGCTGGCTTCATGGGTCACCAGGCATCCTCATGCTGGCTCTGCTCTTGTCATTGTGATACACCATGAGGTGACTTAGCCAGTGGGGTCTCCACTGGTGCCAGCACCAGGTTGTTTGGACTTTTAGCTTTCAGGTCTATGAGCTAATGAAATTGGTGAATCTAAGTTGACATTTCCTATCACGATGGTTAATCTTTCATTGTCTCTATTTGGAATTACCTAAGAGATGCATCTTTGGATATTCCTGTGAGGTGCTATCACAGATGTTTAAGCAGAGAAGACACATCCTAAATGTGGGTGAAACTTTCCCAGGGCCTAAGTTTCTAGAATGATTCTAGAGGGCAAAAAGAAGTGTCCTGAGAATCAGCATTCATCTCTTTTCTGTTCCGTGACTGCAGGAATACATTGTTTATTTGATTATGCTCCTCTGCTGTGCCGTGATGGATTGGAATCCCTCAAACTATGATCTGACTCTCCAGATCCCTGTTATTTCTTTAAACTGTCTTTATATTGGTAAATTGTCATAGCGGGGAGAAAAATAAAATACCCCAAGTCCATACCCTATATTAGGATTCATCTCCAATACTGTATATCTATGGATTAGGACAAGTGTATAATTTAATTTACTATCATAGCGTCTGAATATTTTCAGTACCTTAAAAATCCTTGTCAGCCTAGCTATTCTTCCATCCTCCCCAACTGTCTGGCTTTCTAGAAAGCTGCTTACCTCCCTACTTATGCCTCTACTAGTTTGTATTTCCACCTGCCATGAGTGAGAGTGACCACTGCCCTGTCTCTAAATAACATTGTATGTTATCTGGCTTTTGCATTGTGGCTATTCCAATTGTGTGTCCTTTTGACATTAAATAAGATCATGCCTTTGAGTTACCCAGCTTTGAGTCCAGTCCCTTCACCCCTCTCTAGCACTTAATGCCAAGATACAGTTCAAGTGTCCCCCCGAAAAAAGAGAAAAAGAAGAAAATAAATTAATGGAAAGAAAGTATTGATCCTGCAGGGTCTAGGATAGGGAACCCCTACCACCCAGCACTGTTTGGGACATAGATTTTTGATCTATAGTCTACAGAAGCTTTCCTAATATAAAGGTGTGTAAGGCTCTGGCATTTTGTCTTTCAAAGAAAGAGAAGAAAAGGAATGAGATGATATGTGGAAAAGGAAGAGAAGGGAGGAGAGCCAGAAGGACCACGGAGTGGAACATGTTCTCGACAGAAATGGTGGTGGGGTTTCCACCTCAAAAGTGCTGTATCTGTTCAGACAGGTGGGGAGGCAAAGAAAATGAAGCCCCGGATCCTCATTTTTTGTGTCTCTGGTTTATATTCTTTTTCTTATGAGTTTAGTACTGCATTATATCCAACTTCCACACAAATGTACATTGATTAATTGAAACAAGGCCACTTGTACCACGATGGCAAGGTTTAGGGTATACACATCTCTGTCAAATTCCAAAGGTTAAGATGGACCTTTGAGAAGCACTGGGGACACGTTGTTTAAGGAGAGTATCTAAAAGTAAGTAAATTATTTTAAGTTGCTTGACCTTTCATTGGTCATTCCTTTTTTCTAATGTGTATAGGTGAAATGTTCACCACAAATAACAATGTTACTCTTTGGAGACTGGTATTCAAGAGCCTAGGGAAGTGTATGAACTGTGGGAAATGCAGACTTTGAAGCCTGGACAAAGCTTGTCTCCCATTGCAGTCAGTGTAGCTTCCAAGTCTGCAGATTTATAAATGCAGTGGAATGATTTCAACACCCAAACTGCAGTTAAAACCTTTGCTAGAGTTCAGACATGCATGGTGTTCAAAATAATCTCTTGATTACATTTTGTGATATTGTACAATCTTTTGTGTGGTTAGGAAAGGCTACTTTTAGAATGTTATCAACTTAAAAGAAATGAGTAGATTTCAAAAACCATTCTTTAGTCAATTAGTAAATTATTTATGAGAAAAGCACAAAAATAAACTTCACAAACTACTTTCACGGGAGGATTTACCATAGGCAAAACGACTTATGTACAATACACCGAACTATCTTCAAACTATCCCAAGATTCTTTCCCCGGTTTCCTTTTCTAGTCAACCTAAAATTGAGTTAAATATCATTTAGAGACACTAGTTATTGAGATTTTTTTCCAGCGCTCTTAAAAGGAAAGGGCAAAGTCTTCTAAAGTGACCATGACATGCTTAAGTAAATATTTTCCCCTAAGGTTCACTGTATAATTTAACTTGAGAAGATATGGGTAAACACAGACCTGCTGCAATATTTTAGTGAGTAATTTACTATTTCCTCTAATTTGGAAAGCTCTTTAAAACATCCAAAATCTGCTGCGATTTCCCATAACACCACTTGTTCGGAAGGTTTTACAGCTTGGATAACCAATAGCACTTACAAGATCTGCTAATCAATGTCCTCAGAAGCCCTGGGGGAAAACGCAAGTCTCCATGTCTTTTCATCTTCACTCTACCCGACCTTTGCGTCATTGACCCCCACATGACTTCCCAACTGAGTTTACAGATCCAAAGGCATTTCTGTGACAGTGTTCCAACTCTAGTAAAAGTGTGTGTGTGTTTAAGTCAAGATTTACTCTGTATTAAGAGCTTTAAGGCTGACCTAGAGGAATGATAAGCCGGGTTAGCCGACCCTGGAAGGCAGCTCCATTCAGTATTCTAGACTTACTCACGAAAGACCTCTGCTGTCACCACTCAAACTGAAGAAAAACTCAATAAAAAATGCTGGCAACTAACTATGCACATAATGTTAAAGTGGCAGATTTAAAAAATCTGGGTAGATAAAGTGGCTACCATGCAGCCACGGTGCCAATTAGGAAGATCCACAGCGCTGCATTTGGATGTAGAAGCTTTCTTGCCTGCATAAGAAACCCGGAATTTCAGGATGTGCTGGGCTGCGGGCAAAACTGGTAAAAGTGCCATGAGCATCTCACTGAGAAGTAGCGGGACTATGGCACGTGTGGAAATTACACGTGTGTATGACAAACCCGGATTAACTTCAAAGATGCCACCATTCATTTCTCCTACCAGAGAACGGTGAAGAACACAAAGTGACATCAATTTTGCTAGAAAACAGTTGACCCAGAAAACACCTCCCTTCTACCACTCTGTTCTCTAATTACCTGTGAATACCTCCACTTCTGGCACTTGGTAGCAACCGGCAGAGGCAAACCCGGCAGAATGGTGTCCAGGTGCTGGCTGATTAACTTCTGCACGTCCTCCTCACTGCGCTCCAAGTGCGTAACTCCAAATGGGACAGTGGTGTGGATCACCAGGGACGGACCAAATTCTGACGACTCTGTAGTGAGAGACATAGAAAGATGGGTCTTAAGGCACAGGAGCCTGGACGCACAGACCCGTGTTTGAATCCAAAGTTAGAAAGTGAGCACAGCAACCAGAGGAAAAGCAGACTAATGACTCAGCATTTGTCAGGCTGGTTCTGAACCAGCCTCAGCTCGCCTGGAGAGGGAGGTAGGTTGAAGATGCTCTAGCCAGCAAGAGCTCGCGTCTTTCTAAGAAACGTGCAGAGACGACAAGAACCTCCTGCTCTGGGTACAGCTACATTTATTGGCATTTTTTTATCTTCTCTTATTGTCAAATTGTAATGTTATATCATATATGTTCTTTTTTTCTTAAGTTCTGAGAATGAAATGGATGTTCTGAACAATTTTTATGTTAGGAAGATTGGAAAATATTTTTTTTAATTATAACAATTGCACATTATGCTTACCACTTTGAAAAGAAATTATCTCTTTGAAATGAGAATTTTCCTCCTAATATTATCTCTTATATCTTTTGTGTGTATGTGTATGTGAGGGTTGTGATGTAGCCCAGGCTGGCCTTCACCTTGAGAACACCTCCTCCACCCTCTTAAGTGACGAGAATATAGCTGTGCTGCTCTACTTTATCCTTCAGTTGACAACAGAATAAAAGTCTGTCCCATCTATAACTCCCCATTTTTATTTGTCACTAAATTTGATTTCACTGTATTTCAATGATTACAAAACATGTATAGATGCTCGCATTTAGAAGAACATATGGTAACCAATAAGGCATGAAGACACTGAGGCATCTAAGCCATTAGAAAATATAATCTTGGAAGGAATGTTAACCTGAGTTTGGTTTAAATAATACTGATGCTGTATGGCACTGACAGATCAGCAACTTGATTCTAAGTGTCTCTAATTTTATGTTATAAGAGGGCATGCTATGTGAACCATATCGATTCACTTCTATACACAGAAATCAAAGGTTGAATGGCATAAACTAATCACTTGGCATATGCCCAGCTAGGGTCTCTACATTTTAGAGATTTATTTTTTTAAGCTTGTAACTGCCTAAGTTTATAATGTAGCTAAAACAACATACAAAATAGAGGCTTCATAAAAGATCCAGGATGAATGCAATAAATCAGCTAAAAGGGCAATATTCTTAGGTGTTGCTCAAATTATAGCCATGAATTACTTTTAATAAAAGTACTTTGTCTCCCCAGTTCACACAGCTCAAGACTTTAGAGATAACCACACGGAAGAGTCTCAAAGTGCTACAAACCTTTTAAAGCACAATCAGTATTTCCATCAAATCCCACATGTATCACACATATGAGGTTGGGATATGAATGGAGACACTGTGTTCTCAGTGTCGTGGTGAATCAGATCATCTACCGTTAGTCTACCGTTTGCCTCACTGTAACTGGGACAAGCTCATTAAGCAGCTGAGAAGACATCCCTGGGCATGCTGAGCCCTTATCCTGTGAGTGCAGACTTCGCACAGAGGGAGAAACTCATCAGAGCAAAACTGCAAGTTCCTTCGGGGGAAGCTCCCACAGTAGGAAACCCTTGGCGTGCTGCCTTTGAGGTTCAATGGTTTAAAAGGTGAGGGCTGTCTGTGCGCCTGCAATTACTGTTCTCTGCTTCCTGCTCCTGATGGAATGTGACCAGTGGCTTCAATTTCCTGCTGCCATGACTTCCTCACTATGATGGACTGCACACCAAACTGTGAGCCAGAACCAGTCCTCCCTTACTTAAGTTCATTTGGGAGGGTATTTTATCACAACAGGAGAATACCCAAGACAGTAGGTGTTATTTCCATGCCAGTTTATAACTATTATATATCAGTTAAAAAACCTTGTTCACAGTGGAGGGTGCAATACCATTCTCCATTATGTGGTACCAAATCTTTCTAGAGACAGAAAGCTACCTCAGCAGTGTTGGGAAGCAGAATAGAGCTTTGCCTGCTCCTACTGGCAGGCTTTAAGGGAACACAAATGCTAGAAATGTGCTGAGCATCAAGAGGTGCTCTTGTCTACTCACTAAGACTGGTAGTGGTGCGTGACAAGTTTTGCCTGTTTATGATAGCCATCTCCTGCCAAGAGAGAAATGCCCAAAGGAATCTTAAAACTCAAATTGAAATGGTTCTCACATAATTATAGAACAGAGAACAACCTGGTTACTTTTTATTCTTGGGATAGAACAAATTTTGAGAATTTATATTAAAGTTTAGACTAACACTATCCTGAGTGAGGTAACCCAGGCCCCCAAAAGATGAATATAGTATGTACTCACTCATAAGTGGATACTAACTATAAACAAAGGATATTAAGCCTATAGTTCATGATCCTAGAGAAGCTTAGTAATAAGGTGAACCCTAAGAAAAACATATAGATCCACCTGGAAATTGGAAACAGACAAGACCACCTGACAAAATTGGGAGCATGGTGGTGGGGGGAGAAAGGAGGCAGAAGGGGAAGACGAGGGGAGAAGAGGGATTTGAGAAAAACTTGAGGGAATGGGATAGTTGAGATGGAGGAAGGACAGAGATCAGAACAAGGAAAGGGATATCTTGATTGAGAGAGCCATTATAGGGTTAACAGGAACCTGGCTCTAGAGAAATTCCCAGGAATCCACAAGGATGACCCCAGCTAAGACCCTAAACAATAGAGGAGAGGGGGCCTGATCTTGACTTACCCTGTAGACAGACTGATGAATATCTTAAATATCACCATAGAACTTTCATCCAGCAACTGATGGAAACAGAGGCAGAGACCCATAGCAGAGCACTGGACTGAGCTTCCAAAGTCCAGTTGAAGAGTGGAAGGAAAGAGAATATGAGCAAAGAGGTCAAGACCATGATGGGTTCACCCACTGAAAAAGTCTACCGGAGCTAATAGAAGCTCATCAACTCCAGCCAGACTAGGAAGGAACAAGCATAGGACCAAACTAGTCACTCTGAATTTTGCTGACAGGATTTATCCCTACTGCTTGTACTGGCTTCTTGGAATCCTATTCTCTTTGGATATATACCTTGCTCAGCCTAGATATAGTAGGGAGGGCCTTGGACCTTTCACAAAGCAATGTGCCTTAACTTCTTTGAAGATTGGATGGGGGTGGGAGGGAGGATGTGTGGAGGAAATGGGAGGAAGGGAGGGAGTGAAAACTTGGATTGGTATTTTTTAAAAAATCTAATAAATTAAAAAAAAGAAAATTAAAAAAGGAATTTTAAAAGAAAATGACTCCAGCCCCACAAACTAAAAGGCAACTTTAGAATCTGAAGTGAAAAAAAGAAAACACACAGAAAATCACAATAAGTAACAAACATGTTATTAGAATTTAGATCTGAAGGGGAGAGACTAGAAATGACAATGGAGGAAAAAACAAAATCTTACATGTTTTCTTTCAAATGCAGATTGTAGGCATGGGTAAACACACACACACAGACACACACACACACACAGACACACATGTTACTAGAATGCATAAAGGGACTTTTGCTAGGTAAGACAAAGGACGAGCAAGAATGGAGGAGATAGGATGGGGAAGGCAATAACAGGGTCAACAAAAGGTCAACAAAAGCTATGCAGTGATATGTATATGTGACACCATCATGATAAAATCTTTATTTTGCAAGCTACCTAAAAAGTTAATAAAGAAAGAAAAAATTGAACTAAATTGTATAGGTAAATGTGATCTAGATGTTGCATTAAAATTTGTCAAATGACCTTATACATAAAAGAAAGGAAAAATTGAACTAAATTTTATTGGTAAAATGTGATCTAGATGTTGCATTAAAATTTGTCAAATGACCTCATACATAGTCTATCCTCTCAAATGTTACATTCAATTTTGAATATAAAATTTTTGGTGTTGAATTAGCTTTTGTGTTTTTGTGCACATGTGGTCATGCATGTATGTGTGTGGTCAAAAACAATCCTGGGTGTTGGTCTTCAGATGTCTTCTGCTTTTTCCTTTTCTTTTTTCTTTTTTTAAATTTGGTAGATGAAAGCATTTAAATATCAATAGGTAAGGCTAATGGACACTAGAAAACTGAGAAAGCATATAATTTGTGATAGGAAAATATGGTTCTGCTTATAATTCTAATTTTTAAATTCTGTGTAAAAGCAAGGGTTGTTTTGATAAAGTGATAGAAACCACATTTAGTTTTCCATTTGTAGGACATCATAACAGAGATCTCTATATTGAGAGTTTGAACAAGATGGTTAAATCTTGGAATGCTTCTAAAGGTACCTAAGAAAATTAGCGAATAATAGTGCCTCAGATCTCCTATTTAGAACGATTTTCACTGAATTAAGGGCAAGAGACTTGAGTTCCTGAATATTTTTTAAAAAATATATCGGAAAAGACTGGTGTCTTTCCTATCCCTATTTATTCTATTTTCCCCTAGTTTGGAAGTTTACATGTTTATGTATGACTGTAAAAGATAGTGTAGACTTAAATATTCATATTATCTTTAAAGTTAAAAGCAAGTCAACATATTCACCCTTTTCTGAATAATAGATTCTCAAAACACTTGAGCTCAGCTCTGATTTATGTGTTCCCTTTGCCCAGGATTAGTTCTGCTCGTTAGCTTTGTCCAACACTGCCAATTTGTTCATATTCATCCAAGTTTCTTTTGTGGATAGCAGATCTCCCACAATGCTTATTTTCTCTTCCCCAAATATCGTATTTTAAAGTTCCTTAAATGATTCCCCTCTCCCTGGAGGCAGTCACTCTGAGGTTTTGATTCCCCAGGACAGTCATCATCCTCCTTTGTGAAGCAGGCATTTTTGTTGGTAAACAGCAATGAACCCAGGGCGTCACCATGGTTTTAAAGCTGTGATTCCAATGTAGGTTAGCATCTAGAAATCGATCCTTAATTTGACTTCAGGCCATTGCATGTAATTTTTCTTTGATGGCCTTGGTGTTTTCCAGTTTGATTCAGATCTCCTGAAGTTTGAATTTTGTTTACTTTCCTATAAACTCACTGAATACAAAAACTCAGCTTTATTTTCAGCTGATTCTC